AGGAGGAAGCCCCGCGACTACACCATCAAGGTGCACATGAACTTGCTGCTGGCCATCTTCCTGCTGAACATGAGCTTCCTGCTCAGCGAGCCGGTGGCCCTGACGGACTCTGAGGCCGGCTGCCAGGCCAGTGCCATCTTCCTCCATTTCTCGCTGCTCGCCTGCCTCACCTGGATGGGCCTGGAGGGCTACAATCTCTACCGACTGGTGGTCGAGGTCTTCGGCACCTATGTCCCTGGCTACATGCTCAAGCTGAGCCTCGTGGGCTGGGGTAAGTGAGTGAGTGGGGTGTCCACTTCTCTCTATCACAGGAGAGGGGTCGGTGGTCCCCAACCCCCACCACAGGTCTGCCTCTCCCGCTTGACTTCTGGCAAAACGAAGTCACCTGTTACCCACCCCCCGACCTCTCTGATGGGTCCCCTTGGGGGTTCTGCACCCCAGTAGAGTCCTGCACCCCAGTAGAGTCAAGGCCCCTTGTAGGAAGGCGAGGCTGTGGGCTTTCTCCCGAAGAAACAGTTCTGTAGCCCCTCTGTCACTTACTCTGCTCAAAGGGTGGGCTCCAGGTAGGACTGCCATGTCTAGATGTGCAGGTTGGGCAGTGGGTGAATGGGACTGGCCCCTCGGCCTGCTCACCTAATTCGCCCCTGCCTGTGGCTTATCCATGGCCTTGCCCAAGAGTTTGCATATGGCTCAGGCCTCTCTCGTGCCAGGGACCCAAGAGCTTGAGCCACATGTCCCTTTGGACATCTCCCGAGCACTTTGATCTCACATGCCCCTGGCCCCAACTTGCTCCCCCTCCTGTGCCTCGGGCATGAACACCCTCGGGTCAGAAGTGGGTGTAGGCTGTGGGCAACCCCTCCAGGAAGCTCACTGTGCATATCTGGGAAGAGGTCCGGTCCCAGCCGGACAGCCTGTGGGAGCAGAACTCAGGCAGGTCCCCATCATCTCATGCCCACCCGCCAGTGCCCTCTTGTCTTGCTCCTCTCCTTGTGACCCCAGCCCCTCAGCTGGGCCTTCAGGTCTCCTCCTAAGGGGAAAGGGGAAGAGTCGGGTTCAGGGGACACTTCCCCAGGTGGGGGAGGGGACAGCTCTGGGAGCCCATTTCAAGAGGAAGTGGCCCTGAGGTCCCTTGAGGGAAAGTGGACGTCCATGCCTTGTCCTCCTCAGGGTTCCCCCTCTTCCTGGTGACGCTGGTGGCACTGGTAGATGTGAACAACTACGGCTCCATCGTCCTGGCTGTGCGCAGGACTCCCGAGAGAGTCATTTACCCTTCCATGTGAGTGGCTGCCGAGGCTGGGGAGACGTACCAGGAGATTTCTGGGGCCCAGACTGCTGGGGGCATCAGCCTGGGGGTGGCCAGAGCACTGGGCTGAGAGACAAGGAGGTGACTCCCTGGCCTCCATCTCCCCACCTGTGAGTCGGGGGGGGGAGGGGGGGAGTCTGGAGCAGATGAAGCCCACCATGGTCTTTTATTGTACCTCTGTCTCCCCCCAGGAGCCACACGGAGTCCAGGTTAGGAAAGAATCCTTTCTACTGGCTCAGCCTTTTGAATGTTTCAGCCCTTCACCACCCCGCCATGATTTTGCCTTCTCCTGCACCATCTGTATTTGGTGTTTTTAGGTTTAATATATATATTAAGATGACCTGTCAATGCTAGACATAGAAAAAGGAGACATTTGACTTAAAGGAGTCAGACAGTTCAAAGAAGACGATTTGGCACAGAATGATTTTGCTGGCATCATGGGGTGAGGAGGTAAAGGGCTGAACCTTTGGAAATTATTGAGCAGCCCTGTACATAGGATTGAAACAGAGCCAAGGGTGAAGCTGTGGTTTAGGTGCTGGGCTGCTAACCCCTCAGCTGCTCCCCGGGAGAAACAGGAGGCTGGCTGCTCCCTTGAAGATCTACCGTCTGGGAGCCTAAAGAGCAGTACTACCCTGACCTGTAGACCCCTGTGAATTGGAGTCAACTTGATTGGTGGTAACTCCCTGCCATCGAGGGATGCTGACTCGTATGGACCCTATAGGACAGGGTAGAACTGCCTCTGCGTGTTTCCGAGCCGGTAACCCTTTATGGGAATAGGAAACCCTGTCTTTCTCCTGAGGAGCTGGCTGGTGGCTTCGACCTGGCAACCTTGCAGATGGCAGCCCAGTGCGGAACCAGCAGGGTTCCTAACTTGGTGATAGCGAGTGTCGGTGGAGAATGGGCATGGTTTGTCATGCCTGGCGAGAAGGCATGCGAACCGTGCCAACAGGACGGAGCTGGCACATGATGGCTGGGCCTGCTGTTGGTTGAAAAGGGTGAGGGGCAAGGGCGAGGGGCATTGCAGACACATGTCTGCCATGCCTTTCCCGAGACTCCAGGGAAGACTTGGGGGAGGGAGGGGCTCTCTCAGCTTGACCTGGAGCGCAGCCTGGTCCGGGAAGCCGAACCCTGGCGTCTTGTCTGCAGGTGCTGGATCCGGGACTCGATGGTCAGCCACATCACCAACTTGGGCCTCTTTGGCCTGGTGTTCCTGTTCAACGCAGCCATGCTGGGCACCATGGTGGTGCAGATCCTGCGGCTGCGCCCGAACGCCCAGAAGTGGCCCCATGTGCTGACGCTGCTGGGCCTCAGCCTGGTCCTCGGCCTGCCGTGGGCCCTGATTTTCTTCTCCTTTGCTTCCGGCACCTTCCAGCTTGCCATCCTCTACCTCTTCAGCATCATCACCTCCTTCCAAGGTCTGCGTGGAGGAGACCCTCCCTGCCCTGCCCCACCCTCCCTCACCCCCCAGTGCCCATGCGTGGGGTGCAGGAACGAGGAGAGGGCCTTGAGACTGGGGGACTGCTTGTCCTTTTTTCCATTCATGAAGGAGGGGTGGGGGGCAATCTAGGCCACAGTGAACAGGCGCTTACCGAGCACCTACTATGGACACACTCTGAGCTTGGCCCCGGCTTGATGTGCGGAGGTGGCCCAGGAAGGCCTCTGCTCCCGGGAGCTCATGCTCTCTCGGGGAGGACAGAGCACCGGCCGGCCAGCCACCAGCAGAGGCAAGATCTTAGAGCAGGCCAACCAGTGAATAACCCGAGCCGAGGCGTCTCGGACGGGGGTGCTTCTGTGCCGTGAGGCAGGCGACTGACCCTTTGAGTCTCTGCTTTCTCCCCATGAAATGAAAGGACTTCGAAGGTGCTCAATCGCTCAGGCAGCATTTCTTGGGCCTTGAACAAATCAGTTAGCATTGATCCGTATTGTGGGGAGAAGCAGCAGGAGGGGGTGTTTTTGCAAGCGGCCCCCAGAAGCCGGTCCCCAGTGTTTAATTCTGCTCAGCCAAGCCCCCTGGCTTCCGTGGGCCCCTGTCTCTCCGTTTTTAAGTGGAAGCATTGGATCACTTGAGAGAATCAAGGGAGAGGGGCACTCTCTCTTGGGTGGGTGGCCCTGGGGGGCGTGGCACGTGCGTGGCCGGTCAAGGGGACTCTGGGAGGGAGGGGGCGGGGTGGAGCAGGCAGCTCCTGACGCAGCTTCCTCTGCCTCCCCCAGGTTTCCTCATCTTCCTGTGGTACTGGTCCATGCGGCTGCAGGCCCGGGGCCACGAGCCTTCCTCCCTGAAGAGTAGTTCGGACAGCACCAGGCTCCCCATCACCTCGGGCCGCATGTAGGCCACCCGCCCACCCGCCTGGCATGAGGTGTGGCCACGCAGCTGCTCCTCACCACGGCCTGACCTGACCCGACCGCTGCGGGATGAGGCCATTGCCATGGTGGCCACGTCTCCAGACCAGGCTTCCCAGTGGGCTTTGGGATGACTTGGCTTTGAATCCAGCTCCGAACGGGCTCGGGAAGGGTGGGCCACACCAGGTGTGGGACCGCCCTGAGGTGTCCTAAGGGGACCCAGGCCACGCATTTCAACTCTGACTGAGGTCAGCCTCTGCCAGGCTCCGGACCTGCAGGCTCCAAGGAGGCAGGAGGCAGCGTGTATTTTCAGCCCGGGTCCCGGGTCCCGGGTCCCGGGTCCAGGCTCCCAGCTCCAGGGCCGACTGGGGCCGTGTCAGCATTCTATGTGGATTGCCACATGGGACTCTCAGCCCCTGCCATTGTGACCCGGGGCAAGGCAGCACCTCAGAGCCAGACCCTTGAGGAAGAGAGCCCCCCTGAGCAGTAGTGGCAGCTCCCCACCTCCAAGTCCAGGGCCTCCCTCCACTAACACCCCAGCCTTCTTGTTCCCCTCCCAGAGTGTCTCCCCAATACCGTCCTGTCCTGATGACTTCCCCACTCTTCTCCCAGGGGCTTTCCCAGCCCTCCAGGGCCCCCTAGCCTTTACTCTCACCACTAAGCTCTCCCTACCCTTACCCTTCTCTCCCAGGGGCCCCGTCCCCGCCCCCCTACAGCCCTTACTCTCCCCCTGGAAATCTCTTCGTCCCATAGCCATGGCCTAGGATCCCAGTTCCCATGCTGCGTTCTGGGCAGTGGATTCCAGGAGCTGCCTGGTCCTACTGTGAATCTGTGCCTACAGGCAAGCCTGTGCTTGTGTAGGCGATCCAGGCAGGACCGGGCTGCCTGGCCTGGCTCTCTCTGTACACTGTACCACCTTGCTCACGCCTGCCAGCCCGTACGTACCTCGAGGTTTCAGCAGCTCCCGCAGGTCTCTTGGGGGAAGAACTGTGGAGGACAGTCCCCAGCCGTTGTCCACCGCTGCACTTGCAGACGAAGACAGTTCCCTGGGTGACACCAGCCTCGAGCCCAGCGCTCTCTGCAGGGGTCCAAACACCCTGTGCACCCCTGGCTGCCATCACAGCTGATTCCGTGAAACATGCATAGCCCTGGGCTGTCTGCTGTGTGTCTAGCCCATGGGCTAGGTGGTGGGGACACGGACCCGGCCTCAGCCCCCTCTGTGAGGCACACACAGGGTCAGCAGCCATCACCGGTGGCTGGGGATCCAGGCCGGCTTCCTGCAGGAAGTGGGATTTCATCACGGTCTGTATGCCGGGGGAGGGTTTTCTTTTTAAGGACCAGTTTGTTTGTCTTTTTACTATTTTAGGAAATCCAAAAACCATGTCCACTATAGAATATTTCGGAACTGTAGACAAGGATGAAGAGGCAAATAAAACCAGCTGTCTGTCGCTCAGCAAACCAGTGTGAACGTTGGGCGCTTCCTGCCAGCCATTTCCCCAGCGGCTGCTGCTAGGAAGTGCAGAGGCTTTGGCCAGCCAGGGGGTCACAGGCAACAGAATTAAAACTGTCTCACTCCAGGGCCTGCGGGGAGCGTGAGCAGCCTCCATGTGGTGGGGGCAGCCGAGAGGGCTGGGGTCTGGAGATGTGAAGCTGTCCCGCCCCGGGAGCATCTGCCCCTCGCCTGCCTACAGCCTTACTATCCTGCTGGGTGGCGTGTGAAGTCTGATTTAAATCAAAAAGCTCCACTAGCCTAGGATGTCATGCGAGGGCTGGATCCGGCCTTGTCTGGTCACAGCGGAGGCTTTGAGAGAGGCGGTGGGGAAATGCCATGATCTTTTCCTCCCATTTTGCCACGGCCTCTGAAGCCACCCCAGTCTGTACTCGGGGTCCTGGCCACTCTGAAACAGGTGGGCTGCCCAGAGCTATTCGACTGGACTTTTCTCACCTTGGCAGCACCCTGGCCTAGTCTCCCCGCAGCCAAGCGGACACGGGAGGTGGAGCACATAGATTTCTGCTGGTTCAGTGATAAGAACAGCCAGCCTTGGCCACTGCCATTGTCTTCAGTCCAAATCCAGGCCCAACCTGCTCCCCTCCCACACTCTTCCCTCTTGTCTGGGCTGCTCCAGCCTGTGGGCACAGACAGGGCAAAGGGGCACAAGGGCAGTGAGGTGCTGTGAAGGAAACCAGCCCCTAACACATCATCACCGGTCCAGTAGGCGCAATTGTACAGCGATAAAGATTATAGTAATGCCAAAGAGAGCATGAGAGAGAGAAGAGAGATTGAAATAGTGGAGTCAGACATTTCATGGTAGCATGCTCACCTCAGCCTCACTTGGTGGTCCACGTGGAGAGAGGGGGAGGAGAAGGAGGACGGGGTGGGGGGGCGAGGACGGGAGAGGAGAGGGAGCCCACGAGAGGCCAAGGAGGATCTTTATTGCTAACCAAGGCTTATATATCTTTGGGGGGCATGCAAGCCCACTGATTACAGGTAAAGACATGTCACAGGAAGGGGTTGCACTATAAGTTATATATACATGCAATAGGAAGAGGAGGGATTGGGGGCACAAATGACAAGAAGGGTGGATCCTAGATTCATGATGGCAGCCTAACTTTGGATGTCACTGAGCAGGTTTGACCTGTTCTCTGGCTCACTATAGAAACCATTATCAGTAGGGTATAAACCCACTTACAGGGACCAAACCATGGCTGCAAGCCTTTAGGGAGAAGTAGCCCATTGTCCTTAACAGCAGGGAGTGGGCCCTATTTGTGGTGGGACCAGATAGGAGTCTGGCATTGACCAAGTAGTAGTCATTGACCTCCCTGTCCTTTTCTCCAGGCCTTAAGCCCCCCAACCCCTGAGGTCAGAGGCAAATGTCCCCAAGCTCTCCCCCCACATCGTGTCCCAATTGGACGGCTCAGTGGGGTCAGCACAGCTACCTTTATACACCTCTCAGTCTCTGCAAGAGAGAGAGAGAGAGTCTCCCTGAAGCCTACCACTTAGGTGGGGAGAGAGGGCTTGTCTGAACCCCCTGATGTGCATTGCGGGGTGGGGGAAAACCCACTCTCTTCCTTTGTTAGGCAGGGTTCTTTAGAGAAACAAAACCAGGACACTTATGATTTTATATATATAAAATATATATAAAATAAGAGGGCTCAGTTCATCTCACTTCCATGGAACAGTTAATATACTGGAAGTCCTTCAGCTCAAGAGGGCTGCAGGGTCCAAAGTCAAGGAAGCAGACAGCTGAGTCTTCCCTTGGACAATGCAGGCAGAGTACACCAACAGGCAGCAAACAGCAGGGCAGGTCACCAACAGTCAGTAGTTTGGGAGCTCAGCGAAGCAAACCTGGGTGGGATATCGAACTCAACCAATGCAAGATGACAGGATCCACCAGCCTCAAGCTCAAGCGATGTACACACCAGCAGTGTGGTGAAGCAGGTCTCGAAGGAACCTCAAGCTCTAGCTACATGATGGTGTAGCTGTCCCACAGGTAGTGTAGCTCACAAGTTGAGGCAGCGAAGTAGCTAAAGTAGCCCCACTCTGGTCTGATCACCAGAGAGCAAGAGGGAGAGGAGCGGGCCTTGATGAGCCATTTATCTCTTTGTCCTCCAATCAAACTGTGACCTGATTAATCCCACATGTTCCTATTGGCCAGGTTGGCACAATAAACCTACCTATCACACTTTCTGAAGGCAGACAGCACTCCCTCAGACAAACTCACCTGCTTCCAAGGACTCTTATGAACACCTAGTTTCCGTCTTCATGGCTGGCTGGGTAGTAGGTGGAGAGTAATGGGTCTGGTCACGTGTGATGCCTTGTGGGGAGGGGGTACCTGGAAAGCTGGATCCTCCTTATCAGGCAGCCTTCTGAGGGTTGGGACTCCAGACCACCGGCTGCCTGTTCCCAGCAGGACCTGACAGGCTGGCATCAGAAAACATCTCTCTGGGGTGGAAGAGGGATCAGAGCTGTGGCTGCAGTGGAGGTTGGCCAGAGGTCTTAAGACCTTGGCCCTGGAGACAAGTGTCTACCTGGGGCCTCTTGGGCAGGCTTCTCTGTGCACAGAGAGAAGGAAGTCATAGTTCTGTTTGCCCCAGGCGTGTGTGTGTGTGTGTGTGTGTGTGTGTGTCTCGGGGGGTAGGAGGGACAGTCTCAGAGCAGGATCTGTTGGAGAAAGGACTGTAGGGAGAAGTGGGCCTTTTGGCCCCTTTCCCAGCCCCCAGCCCTATCTTCTGGGATAGAGTGCTGGGCGCTCTGTGTCTTATCTTTCCAGAGAGTGCCCTTGAGCCCCTAGAGGGCCTGGCATAGCGAGTCTTAGTTTAAGGTGACCAGACATCCTGCTTTTGGCGGGACAGTCCCAATTTTTAACAATGTTTCCCGCGGCCCGCGGCATTTTTAAAATGTCCCAATTTTTGGAAAGAATGCACGACAAGCTAGGGTGTACGGTTTTCGGCTGCCATGTGGCTATTTCACCAGGCTATGAGTTTTATCAATGGTGTCTCGCTTTACCGATGTGAAAATCTGGTCACCTTATTTAGTTACCTAGTTCTGCTATAACGGAAATGCCAGGAGCGAGTGGATTCACGAGAACCGCATCTTCACCCAGTTTAGAAGGGTAGACGTCTGAACCCAAGGTAGGGGCAACGGCAGAGGCGGTTCGACCAGACAGCGTGGTTCCTTTGATCCCTGAGCGGGACTATTGCTCGGAGCAGGCCCTAGAGACAAGCCTCTGTTCTACACGGCTATTGCCTCAGAGACAAGATAATGTTTCATGCTCGGGGTGACACGCCCCAGAACGGTTGGTACTCTACGTCATCTGCAGAAAGAGCATGCCAGGACTGGAACCCCCGGACTCCCTCACACCCTGCAGGAGCCCTTAAATCTCCATGTCTGCATGTGGGGCTGATGCCTCCTTACGTTCACACCTGTATACAGGGCATGCCTTTCTTCTTAGGAGCCTCTAGTAAAACTCCAGCACTGCCTCTATGTCTGAACAAAGCAACTCTTTCTCAACACCTTGTCACTGCTAATAGCTCTTGCCCTGGATCAGCTGAGCCAGTTCACAGACTCCTAGTTAACGAGGGAGAGAGAGAGACATTTTATTAGGAAGTTAACCCCCAGGACTCCGACCACACCCAGGCTGTCTGACATCGAAATACATGGGAGAATGTATGTCTTTGACTTTGGAGTTTACACACGCAGACGTTTTACATTAGCTCAGCTTTCAGGTTCATGGTGGGAAGCAACGATTGACCTTGGGCAAGCACACAGAAGAATAAGGTTCTTCCAAGTCTTAGTCTCAAGATGTCTCTGTTGACTCACTAGATAAGTGGAATTATTATTATTTTTTGGTCCCTACTAGGTAAATAAGAGGAGAAACGGTTATCTGGCCCTTCCAGGAGACTTCTGCACCCAGTCTGTTTGCCTGTGAGCAATGTACCAAGTTGTAAAAACATTCCAAAGGGATTTAGGTGGGAGTCAGACTACTTGCATTTATTACAAAGAAGCCCTGGTGGTGTGGTGGGTCACATGTTGGACTGCTAGCCACAAGGTCAGCAGTTCGAAACCACTAGCTGCTATGAAGGAGAAGGAAACCCACGGGGCAGTTCTGCTCCGTCCTACGGGGTGGCTGAGTCAGAAGCGACTGCAGGGCAGTGAGTGAGCATTGACTACCATTTGTTTTTCTCACTGCATTAAATAAAGTTTAAATAAAATAACTTGGCTTCGACCTGGCTGCAGTATCACTGGCTGGAGAGAGAGAGGCTTTCTCTTTCTGTTGGCTCTGGAGGAAGGTCCTTGCCTAAGGTGACCAGATTTAAAATGGGACACCATTGACTGGGGGGTGCGGGGGGCGGGGGGGAGGTTCTTGATTAAAATTTGGTCTATATGGACCAAGTAGACCATTCCCTAGACTGTCGTGCATTCTTTCAAAAAATCGGGACTGTCCCGCCAAAAGCGGGACCAGCCTCTGCTCCCGGATGAACTCCACTTTGCTTGGCATCTCTCTTCCCCTGTCTCCTCCTTTTCTGCTTGACTTAAAGCACACCCTCCACCAATCTTGGCTCATTAACATAATAAAGACAACCCATTCCCATACGGCAGCTCCTTTGGTAGGTATATGTGGCTTTGAAGTAAAACTAAAATCGAAAATAAAACATCTCTGTTTCATTTAAAGGATATTAAAAGATATTATTATTCAGATCATGATCATTTCATTTCGTTTGTAAAAATGTATTTATGGCTCTGGACTAATTTTTAAACCATTGGAAGGGACAGGATTGGCTGTACAGGATTTGAGATTTCATCTCAAAAGTTTGCCAACCCCTGCCATATGGGATGGTTAGGTTTCTCGGGTGGGAAATACCTCTACTCTTGGCTTTGCATGAGAAAGAATTCACGCTGAAACTTGACTTGTAATCTGAGTGAGTTTTTATGAAGGACAGGAGAAGTTTCAGGTTTT